GCTTCCTCATCCATAATATGACCAGCATTTCCTCTTAGGCATCTGGTAAGGATGAAGTGAGATGGATCTGAGAAGCAGCGTGCGCAGTGACAGAACCAGGCAGGCGGTGGCTGCCACAATGAGGTTTTCTGACTAGGTGCCAGGGGAATAGCCCGGTCCTTCCAAGTGCCTGCCCTGGTTTCCCGGGGTGCATCACCCACCTCCTGCTTCCATGCCTGGTTATTGCAGCTGACCTCAGGGCCTGTAATGTCTCGCAGGCCTTTTCCCCAGAGTCTGCCCACAAACCTCTCAGCAGTGCGGGTGCGAGAGCACTGGCAGAGGCAGCAGCCAGGACTGGGTAGGTCCTGACAGGCAAGGGTTCAAATCCCTGTCCTGGCTCCCTACCTGGGCGAGTTCCTGCTGGGCTGTTTTTCTTATCCAGGCTGGGTGCTAGGAGGATTCAACATGATGAGTATGCCAAGGGATTGGCACCCCAGAAGTCCCCACATAAGCTAGGTACTGTGGCCAACCTGTACCCCCTTGTGATCAGGCCACCCGCCCTCCTCCCCAGCCACTGCCAGCCATGCCCCTCCCGGCCTGGCCTGCTTGCCTGGCAGTCAGGAGTGGGTGTGAGTGGACAGGCTGGGGGCAGATGAGGCATATGGCCAAACTGGAGGGCTGGGTCTCCCCTCAGCGAGCAGCGGGACTCAGATTGGTAGAGAGGGTTTCTAGAAAGGTGGGTTGGCCTTTTTGGAGGACTCAGCACGGGCTGGTCCCCAGACTCTACTTGCCCTGACCACCAGCCTCCTTGCAGAGTCCTCTGCCAAGGCCGCCTCTGTGGACTACAGGCCTGTGGACCAGGAGTGTGGCTCACCACACCCAAGGCTGAGCTCATATTCCTGGCGGGAGTGGGTGTGTATAGGGGGCACTATCCATGCCCCTAGGGATCGGAGTACAGGAACTCATGCAGAGTTGGGGGCAGACCAGAGGACTGAGTGCAGACCAGAGTTGGGGGGCAGACCAGAGGACGGAGCTCATGGGTCCAAGCCATGAACTCAGCCCTGACACTCTCTACCCATCTTCCTTCCTGGACCTTGGTGCCCACTCTATGAGATGGGGCGGGTATGGGCAGCATAGGACTCATGCTGTCCTGGGAGTCTGGGCCTCTGTAGAGAGCAAGTCACCTCCTCTGATCTGTTTCATGTTCTGGCATCTGCATTTGGGCAAAAGGCTACAAAGTCAGAAAACTGTTCCCACCCTGCAGGGTTTCTGGGTGACTCGCCCTCTTTTTAACATGGCCCTCCACCAGGTCTCCCAGTCTCAGGCAGGTCTCAGGTGGGTTCCCTCAAGGTTTTTTTCTACCCGATGTCACTGCCAGCTACTGGGGGCTGTGATGTGTCAGGCACCATCGGATCTCAGCGCCAGGCGCCATTGGTTCCCAGCACCAGGTGCTGAGCCGTGTGTTCCCTCTTGATGTCACCTGTTAGGGAATGACTGCTTCCTCCCTGGCCTCCAGCTGAGTCATGGAGGCTGAGGGGCTGGACAGAGCTGGGAGTCGGACCCCTTCACAAGAGATGGTGTACTGTGATCTGGTGGGCCCCAGGAGGGACTTTGTGTGCCCTGAGCTGCAGGGTGCTGGCAGGTAGCCAGCAAGGGCCCCAGGGTGACCCCTGGTGTCTCAGTGGACCTAGGCAACAGCTTAGAGGGGTGTGGTAAGGTCCCGAGGGTGATCTCATGCACATGGGAGCACTGCTATAAGCTCCAGCCACATCCCGCCTGAGTGGTTGCGCCTTTCCACAACTATATGGGGGAGGTCCACCACGGTGCGAGCTCCAGCCTCCTCCTCTCTCTGCCTCTGCCCTGGCCAGTTCTTCTCGGGAGGAGCCAGGCTGCTGCTGGAGCCACCCAGGGGGCTGGGCGCCCCTAATTGTAGTCTCCAAAGAAATGTGTCTGAGCAGGAAGCTGGACCAGTGGGGAGACGAAATGGACGGAGGTGCCAGCATGTGTGAGCGTGAGCCACCTTCTGGGGGAATGGCAGGGCTGGAGCAGGGCCCGTAGGGCCCCTGGAAACCCCAATTACTCAACCCTGAGGGGCCCTGGGTTGATCTGCAGCTTCCTCCCTCTGTCAACCAGGACACAGCATCCTGCTGGCCTGTCACCCTGAGAAGGCTGATCAGGTGACGCACTAACCAGACGCCACCCAGGCCTGGTTTCCCTTGCTTCCCTTCCTCATCCTCGGAACTCTGGGCTGCTCCAGGGAGACAGTGGCTCTGCTCACCGGGGCCCCTGGGGCCCTGTATTTCGGTCCTCATGCCACTGACCCAAGTGTTGGAAGGGCAGGCAGTGTGTTCAGAAGCACAGCTGCCTGCTGGGGGTGGAACAGGAACATCCCCTGAGGGCACAGCCAAGCCTGTGTCATTCTTTTTTCCCAACAGCTCCCAGCGGCTGCCTAGATGCCTGCCCTCAGGGGAAGGCATTTTCTCTGCATCAGCTGTTTATTGGGCCACTCCTGCTCCTCCCCTTCTGAGCTCCTAGCCTTGCCATAGAGTCCCTGGGGGGCCTGGTGCTGCCCAGATGGGCTGTCTGCTCTGCTAACAGAGGGTGGCCCAGGGTGTCAGGGCCCTCTCCTTCCTGCCCCAGAGGGTCGCAGAGGCAGATGCCAGGTTGTTAGCCGCTTTCATGCTCTGTCCCTAGGAGTCCACGGCCATACCCTGAACGCACCTGATCTTGTCTGTCCACGAGTGGGGGGCTCGGAACAAGGGGTAGAAGCTCCACTCCACTACTTTGTGCCCGGGCCTGAGGCAGCTTGCTCTGAATCCTTCACTGTCATCTGGGCAGATGGTTTAAATGGTGCCTGTGCTCTGCGTTGCTCTACTGGCCTTGTTCCATGCCTGCTTCTGCTGTGACACGAAGGGACCAGGGAGGACAGGGCCAGCTCCATCCAGAGCATCCCCCTTCTGTGCAACAGAAGGACTGCCCATCCCAGGCATGCGTGGTTGTCAGTGTCCTGTCTCACCCCTCTCCACCCCCCAACTGGCAGAAGAGGGCCCCCAGGAGTGGGGGAAGGACTCCGGGATCACATGACACTGTACAGGGCTGGGCCAGCTGCTGGGCCGCCAGCCGAGGCCCCTGGCTCACCCAGGAGCCACTATCCAGACCTCAAGGATGGCTAATTCCACCCAGCCCCAATCCCTCCTGGGGGTTGCCCCGGCCAGGGACACACTTCTATTCAGCGGGCACTGATGGAGCCCTGCTGGGAGCTGGGCCTTGTGCTGGGCTTCCATGAGGTTTAGGTCCGGTGCCCTGTGTCAGGCAGGTCCTGCATCAGACCTCAAAATAGCTGCTGGTGCCTTGGGCACTCCACCTGCTGTCTGCCTCCCAGCTGGTCCAGATGTGGCTGAAATCCCTGGAAGAAGGAGAGAGAGACCACCCCCCAGCTGAGCGGACAGCCTTTGCAAGAGATAGTTTCAGACCCCTGAGGAGGCTGGGGTAGTTGAGGGTCCTGGTCACTGTGGCCTCTGAAGCTTGTCTCTCCCAAGGGACAATTTTCTATGCCATGGAGAGATGTGTGAAGCAGGAAAAGGGAAGTGAACATCTGTCTCTTTTCCTGTCAATGGAAGGACCAGACCTCCCCAGGCGTGGGCTATTTGGGGGTGTGGGGGTGTCTGTGGGTCTCCACTAACTTCCAAGAAGCAGGGCTGGCTTTCTGTCTGGAGGAGGCGGAGGGTTGGGAGCCCAGTGTGGTGTCCCTGGCCTTCCTGTTGGTACGAAGCCCAGAATGGGAGGGTAGCCTTGGGTCAGAGGAAATGGACTTCCGGAGGACGGCTCCTGCACCTCCCAGAACGCTCTGAGAGTGGGCAGGAGGCACGAGGCCAGGGGTCCTATCCACAGCACGTTGGGTATCTGGCTTCTCCTGCCCAGGGCTCAGGATCTGTCACTGGGGCCCGGGCTGAGTCAGCACTTTCTGGCTTCTCTGAGCTCATCACTTACCCGGTTGGGGCAATGACTGTGGTGTACCTCTCAGCTCCTCCCTAAACTCTCAGGGGTTGGTATCTCTGCCCCCCAGGGGCCCCTCCCTACTGCAAGCTCACCCCTTCCTTGAACAGTGCAGGTGGCAGGAGGTGCTGTGAGATCTGGAGTAGCCACGGCTAAGTCTGGCTAAGTGGCCTTGGCCTTTCCGTCTGCCCGGGCATCTGGAGAGCAGCCAGACGCTTCCCCCTTCCTATCCCAGTTCAGTCTCCATTGTCTTGGGCTCTGTGGCACCCCAGCGGCTGCCTGGAGACTGGCACCGTCACATTTCACACGGACCCCTCACGTGCTGACGGACCGGGAACTGGGAACTCCTCTGTTGCCCAAGCAGGCGCAAGGGCATGAATGAGCAGATGGGGAAGGAAGTGACTCTGATGTGGCCATCGGGTATGCCCTGCACCTGCCCTGGACCCGTGATGCTGACTCTAGGACTGGGCCAGGAAAACTGCCCACTGCTGCTGGGTCAGCCGGGGGCTTCCCAGCTGGGCAGAGGAGAAGTGAAAGGGAGCCCTCTGGGAATGACGTCTCAGGGGCGGGGGATCACCATCTGTATGTAGTTGATTGTGTCAGAGCCCTGGGATCCCAGTTTCACCCTTTTCCCAGTGCAGTGTGTCCTTGGACCAGTTTCCCTCTGTCAGCCTCCATTTGCCCATCGGTGAAATGGCTGAATCACAATGCCCATTTCGGAGGGGGATGGCTTGAGGGTGGGCCAGCCCTGGTCAGGGGCCAATTGTCAGGGCATCGGAGCATCATGTTCACGCCCCAGGTCATGGCTGCCTGGGGGTGGGGGCGCGGGAAGTCTGGGGCAGTGGCCTTCCGCTGTGATGTTAAGCCTGAACCCTTGAGCCATGATCTCATTTTACCCTGGCCAGTCATCTGTGCAACCACCTGTCTGCCTCATCTGCGGCACAGAACGTTGCACAGGGCCATCCCCTGTGGCCAGGCAGGCCCCTGACGTCCCTGGGCCCGGCTGTCGGGCACTGTCTTTGCAGAGCTCCACGCAGGAGATCGGCGAGGAGCTGATCAACGGGGTCATCTACTCCATCTCCCTGCGCAAGGTGCAGTTGCACCACGGGGCCAGCAAGGGCCAGCGCTGGCTCGGGGTGAGTGTGGGCTTGGGAGGCTCCTCTCAGACCTCAGGCCTAGGTGCCACCCTGGCAACACTCTGGGGCTCCTTCCCAGCCTGTTCTGAGGACCCACAGCCCTTGTCCCAGAGGAAATTGGGCCCTCACTCCCTCCCACACCCCCACCGTCCAGCCCAGGCTGCACCCAAGTCAAAGGCACTGTCCACATGTTTGCATGAGTGTCAGAAAAGAAGCCTTTGCGCGGCTCTCACTTCACGTCAGGCCGTGTGTGCTCTGCTGTTGGTTTACTTGTGTTAATTCCCATCCTGGTTGTGGGCAGCCATCGGGTCCTCACTGCCTGTCCTCAGCGCCTTCTCCGCAGTCTGACATGCCATCTCGCATCATGGGCCTGTCTTCACCCAGAAAAAGCAGGGGTTCGGGCTATTAGGTGCCCCTCTCTGCAACTTGCTATCTCCCCCAACACCTGCGCAGGGGCTCCCTGTGAGCTGGGAGCTGGTGCCTTACTCAGTCACGCGATATTCCAGAAGGGAGGCTGGTTCCCATAGCACTTCAGCCCTTCATGGCTTGGGCTATGGCGTGATTTATCTGAGCCCATCTCTTTCTTTCTTTCTTTCTTTCTTTCTTTTTTTTTTTTGGAGTTATGGTCTCACTCTGTCACCCAGGCTGGAGTGCAGTGGCACCATCCTAGCTCACTGCAACCTCAACCTCTTGGGGCTCAGGCAGTCCTCCTGCCTCAGCCTCCCAAGTAACTGAGACTACAGGCTTGTGACATCCTGTCTGACTAACTTTTAATTTTTTTTAGAGACGAGGTCTCACTATGTTGCCCAGGCTGATCTTGAACTCCTGGGCTCAAATCATCCTGCTGCCTCTGCGATCACAGTGCCTGGCCTTTGAGCTCATTTCAACAGTGCTACAGGAAACATCCTGTGTGTCTCATAGGCTGCTCCCTTTCATGCCAGGATAAGCCTCTGATTCCTATCTCTAGAATGGGAATGTTTTGTCAGGACTCCCTCAGATAATGCTCTTCCTGTATGGCAGTGCTGGCTTTACTCAGCTAACAAGCTCACCTGAAGGCATTAGGGTTTTTTGTTTGTTTGTTTGTTTGTTTTTAGTTGGAGTCTCAGTCTGTCATCCAGGCTTGAGTGCAGTGGCATACTCACGGCCACTGCAACCTCTACCTGCTGGGCTCAGGTGATCTTCACCCTCAGCCTTCCAAGTAGCTGGAACCACAGGCATGCGCCATCACACTGGCTAATTTTTTGATTTATTGTAGAGATGAGGTCTCGCCAAGTTGCCCAGCTGATCTCAAACCCGTGGACTTAGGCAATTTACTCACCTCGGCTTCTCAAAGTGCTGGGACTACAGGCTAAGCCACCGAGCCAGGCCTTTTTTTTTTTTTTTTTTTGAGTTGGAGTCTCACTCTGTCACCCACTGGTAGAGTACAGTGGCATGCTCACAGCCACTGCAGCCTTGACCTGCTGGACTCAGATGATCCTTCTGTCTCATCCTTCCAAGTAGCTGGAACTACAGGCATGTGTCCCCATGCCTGGCTAATTTTTTGATTTATTGTAGAGATGAGGTCTCGCCGAGTTGCCCAGCTGATCTCAAACCCGTGGACTCAGGCAATCCTCTCGCCTCGGCCTCCCAAAGTGCTGGGATTATAGGCACGAGCCACCACGCCCGGTGGCATTAGTATTTTTAATCATCCCCACACCTCAGATTCTATTTTTAAAGCCAAGAACTGGCCGGGTGTGGTAGCTCATGCCTATAATCCCAGCACTTCTGGGAGGCCCAGACAAGAAGTTTGCTTGAGACTAGGAGTTCGAGACCAGCCTGGGCAACATAGCAAGACCTCATCTCTACAAAAATATTAAAACAAAAAATTAGCTGGACATGGTGGTACACACCTGTGGTCCCAGATACTCAGGAGGCTGAGGCAGAAGGATCAGCTGAGCCCCAGAGTTGGAGGCTGCGGTGAGCTTGATCGTGCCACTGCGCTCCAGCCTGGGTGACAGAGTGAGACCCCACTTCACACACAAAAAAATTAAAGCCGAGAACCTTTTTCTGCTAGAGACACTCACGTCTTGCCTCTTGCCACTGAGGGCTTGGAGTCCTGTCAGAGGTCCAGACTGCCATCCTCCTGGAGATCTGTGGGGCTGCCGCTGACTGTACGCCCCTCCCTTTGCCCTTTCCCAGTATGAGAATGAGTCGGCCCTGAACCTTTACGAGACCTGCAAGGTAAGGACTGTGAAGGCAGGCACGCTGGAGAAACTGGTAGAGCACCTGGTGCCCGCTTTCCAGGGCAGTGACCTCTCCTACGTCACCATCTTCCTGTGCACCTACAGAGCCTTCACGACCACCCAACAGGTGCTGGACCTGCTGTTCAAAAGGTGAGCTCCCTGCTCTGCGGCATGGGGCTGCCCCAGCCACCCGCTGGCTATGGGTCTCGGGAGTGCCACTTCCATCCCTGCTCCTCAGTTTGCTGGTGTGAGAACTGGGTGCTAAGAGGACCCACCTTGTGGGGTTGTCGGAAGGCCTGGGTGGGATGAGCCATGGAGAGGGCGGCCCCCACACCTGGCCCTGGGGAGGGGGCAACCCGGAACCGGGGTCCTTATTTATGACTTTCTCTCTGCCATGGAGAAGTTCTGCCCCAAGCCTTGCGTGTGTGTGGTCTTGGGCAGAACACTTTTCCCATTTGTATTTTATTTTTATTTTATATTTTGAGTCGGAGTCTTGCTCTGTCACCCAGGCTGGAATGCAGTGGCACACTCAAAGCCACCACAGCCTCAACCTGCTGGGCTTTGGCGATCCTTCTGCCTCAGCCTTCCAGGTAGCTAGAACTACAGGTGCGCACCACCATGCCCAGCTAATTTTTTGACTTATCGTAACGATGAGATCTAGCCAAGTTGTCCAGGCTGGTCTTGAACCCGAGGCCTTGGGCAGTCCTCTCATCTCAGTCTTCCAAAGTGGTGGGATTATAGGCGTGAGCCACCGTGCCTGGCTGTGCTGGCATTTTTGTAGGCACTCAGCATCAATTTGTTTTTTAAAAAAAAGGCAGAAAAAATCCCTGCCCTCCTGGGCTCCCATTCTAGTCAGAGAGTCAGACAGTAACACTGGACATCATAAGCAGGTACGGTAGATGTGATGCCCTCACGGCCTCCTCTAGATATGGCTGCATCCTCCCTTACTCCGATGAGGACGGCGGACCCCAGGACCAGCTTAAAAAGTGAGTGACCTTTGAGTCAAGAGGGGGAGCCCCGTCTCCCCAGACCCGTGGGAGACTGGAGTGGCTGTGGCCAGGAAGGGGTGGACAGACCCTGGGTCCCACGCACCCTGTTCCCACTAGAAGGTTGAGGCCTGGAGGCTTTCCTGGAGAAGGAAAGAAGACAGAGCTTGGGATGGGGTCCTGGGTGCCCTGGACAGCGGAGGGGAGGCCAGGGCTCAGAGCCGACCCCGTGAGAATCCACCCCTCCACTGTCCCATCCCAGCGGTGCCTGCCCAAATGTGCCCCGATTTATGGGCATAGGACAGGAGTGGTAAGCAGTCTGCCCACACAATGATGAGTGCTCAGGGGGCAGACTGCACCACTCCTTCGGGGACAATAGGGTCAGTGGGAAGACGAGGCCCACACTGCTCTCCCAGAATAAAGCCACATGCCGGCACACAAGTTCCAGGTTGTGCTGGCAGGACAGATCCCCCATGGAGTTTGCCTTACAGTATAGAGGGGGCCTGGGAGATATACAGAGGAGTGTGTCAGGCATCCCTGAAGGAGGAGAGGTGGTCGTGCTGCTGACCGACGGCGCCCTCCCATGGGGACTCTGGACAGCTAAGGGGGTGGGGTGGGGGCCTCTGGTGGATGGGGCTGGCACCAGAGCCCAGCCCTGCTGGGGTGTTCTGTGGGAGGGCTGTGGGGAAGGGAAGCCCAGGCTGTTGACTGTCACGTGCCCACCTGCCCCCAGTGCCATCTCCTCCATCCTGGGCACCTGGCTGGACCAGTACTCGGAGGACTTCTGGGAACCCCCGGACTTTCCCTGCCTCAAGCAACTGGTGGCCTACGTGCAACTCAACATGCCCGGCTCAGACCTGGAGCGCCGTGCCCACCTCCTCCTGGCCCAGCTGGAGCACTCAGAACCCCCCGAGGCAGAGCCTGAGGGTGAGGAGGCTGGGACTGGGTGCCTGTGGGCGAATGAGGAGGGGTTGGTGCTGGACCAGGGACACAGAACAGGTGGGGGACTGCAGTCGGGAGGGCAGCTGGTGTGGGCACAGGGGTGGGGGCTTCTCCGAAAGCCTAGGGCTGCTTACTGTCTTCGTAAGGCCCTTGGAGAGACTGTCATGCCGGTGACCCTTTCTCCTTTGGCAGCTTTGTCACCAGCTCCAGTGCCAGTGTTAAATCCGACTCCAGAGTGGGAGTCGTCTCCGGCACCAGCTCCAGCACCCAGTCTGGAACCAGTGCCAGCATCAGCCTCAGAGTCAGAGCTGGAGCCAGCCCCACCTTCAGAGCCAGAGGTGGCACCAGAGCCAGCGCCCGAGCTCGAGCCAGCTCCATCATCAGTGCTAGCACCAGCGCTGGCGCCAGAGCCGGCGCCAGAGCCAACACCAGAGCCAGAGCCAGAGCCAGAGCCAGAGCCAGAGCCAGCTCTGTCACAAACTCTAGAGCCGGAGGCAGCTCCAGGGCGCGTTCCCTCTCCAGAGCCTTGCTGGCCTCCGCCTGTGGTTGCAGAGAACGGGCTGAGCGAGGAGAAGCCTCATGTTTTGGTGTTCCCTCCCGACCTGGTGGCGGAGCAGTTTACACTGATGGATGCGGTGAGCAGCTTGACGGGGCGGGGTGGAGTGGGCCTTCCTTCCGGCATCTGCTGCCCAGTCCTGCCATTCACCGGTCCAGAGCCGTGTTCTGGTCAAATCCAGCTCTACTGTTACGAACCAAGTAACCAGGGCAAGTTTCTTAACCCCAGGGCCTTAGTTTCCAAACTCTGGACATAGAGATGGAATCCTGTCCTCCCCAAATAGACGGTACAGATTCAAAGAGGTAGAACAGACAGGAAGCTTGATGGGCCTGGGCCTGGGCCACGGAGGGCATGAGGCTTGCTTAGTGAGGTACCACCAGAATGACCACCCCATCTGCCCAAGACCTCACCAGCCTCAGCACTCATTAGGTACCTGATAGACTCCATGGCAGATGCCAGACAAAGCCCCTAGCTGTAGCACCCACAGCAAATGTGCATCTGAACGGGTGAGCAGACCTCAGGCGTCCTGCGGGGGACAAGACCCAGAAGCCCCCACAAGGCTCGAGCCACATCCTCAGCTTCCCGAGTGCCAGCCCGTGCCACCGCTGCAGGGCTGGGTGACACTTCCCCCTCCTCCCCAGGAGCTGTTCAAGAAGGTGGTGCCCTACCACTGCCTGGGCTCCATCTGGTCCCAGCGGGACAAGAAGGGCAAGGAGCACCTGGCGCCCACCATCCGCGCCACCGTCACCCAGTTCAACAGCGTGGCCAACTGCGTCATCACCACCTGCCTGGGGGGCCGGAGCATGAAGGCCCCGGACAGGGCCAGGGTGGTGGAGCACTGGATCGAGGTGGCCAGGGTAGGCTGCAGGAGGGGCTCAGGGACCCCTCTCGGCCTCGCTCTGCTCTCAGGTGCAGTCTGTGGGCTAAGCCCCTGGACAGGCCCCAGGCGCCTCTCGCAGGGCCACTCCGGCCTTGACTTTCACATCCCACTGCCCGGACGCTCACTCCTCCTCGCGCTCTGGCCTTGGGTTGAGCTAAACACCTCCTCTCTGTTTTCCCTGGGTCCCAAGTGTGCCCTTCGGGGGCTCCCCGGGCATCTGTCTCATCGGGAGGGGAGACCCAGCCTCGGAACGGAGGCCGAACCAGGCGGGAGTGCAGCCCCAGCTCACGGCTTCTTCTCTCCACCCCCAGGAGTGCCGGGTGCTCAAGAACTTCTCCTCGCTGTATGCCATCCTCTCTGCTCTGCAGAGCAACTCCATCCACCGCCTGAAGAAGACGTGGGAAGAAGTGTCCAGGTGGGCACACCTCCTCCGAGGAGCTCCTGGCGCACCAGGGGCCCTCACCCCCACCCCCCACAGTGAGCCCGCAGGAGGCAAAGACCCTGAGGGGGCAGACACCCGCTGGCAGGCAGGACTACGTCAGCAGTTCTGCCTCAGCCTCAGCCTCCTCATCTCAGATACTGGGTTGAGCCACATGAGCGATGTTCTAGCATTTATACTGTAGCCACAGAACTCCGTCCAGGTGAAAACATTAGCTGGGCATGGTGGCAAGCGCCTGTCGTCCCAGCTACTAGGGAAGCTGAGGCAGGAGGATCTCCTGAGCCTAGGAGATTGAGCCTGCAGTGAGCCATGATCGTGCCACCGCTGCACTCCAGCCTGGACAACAACAGAGTGAGACTCCACCTCAAATAAATAAATAAATAAATAAGTACAAACTGGTGAAAACAGAACCACCCAGTGGAAAGAAGAATGGGGCCCTGCAGTGCCATCATGAAGGCCCCTCCCCAGAGGCAGGGTCCCCTTGAACTCAGAACCCTGTGTGAAATCCTCTCATCCAGGCAGCTTTGGCGTTTGAGTGAGTTCTAAAATAAAACAGATCTGCACTCTCACCCATCCCTGCCATTCCCAGCTTTCTCCTCCCTTCTCTGCCTTTCCTGCAGGGACAGCTTCCGAATCTTTCAGAAGCTGTCAGAGATCTTCTCAGACGAGAACAACTACTCACTGAGCCGAGAGCTGCTCATCAAGGTAGAATGGGGGAGGGGAGAAGGGTGAGGAGGACGATGGGATCGGGGGCAGTGGTGTGTGTTTCTAATTGAAAGTGTTTTTGAAAAAAAAAATCCAGTCCAGGCCTGGTGCAGTGCCTCACGCCTGTAATCCCAGCACTTTGGGAAACCAAGGCAGGAGAATCACTTGAGCTCAGGAGTTAGAGACTAGCCTGGGCAGCATAGCAAGACTTCATTTCGACAAAAAATCCAAAAACTCAGCCAGGCATGCCTGTAGTCCCAACTATTTGGGAGGCTGAGGCAGAAGGATCTCCTGAGCCCAGGAGGTCGAGGCTGCGGTGAGCTGTGATCGTGCCACTGCACTCCAGCCTGGGTGACAGAGTGAGACTCCAACTCAAAAAAAAAAAAAAAAATTCTTTCTCATCTAGAGGAAGGGGAAGAGGAATCTGTTTGACCCATGGATGTTGGAGGCAGTTTGGGGAGCCCCTGGTAACTGGGTTTCCAGGAAAATTATTCCAGTTTCCAGGAGCTGGCAGGATTGGCAGGACCTAGCTTTCTCGCTGGCCCCTTCTGCCAGGCCATAGCATCATCCAGACTGCTGAGTGGACAGAAGTGGGTGCAAATTCTTTCCCAAAGCCTCCCAGCCTGTCCTTAGGAAACAGGCTCCTGATGCTGCTTCTTTCTGCACCACATACCCCAGGGGAGGAGCGGCCTGCCTGCCCCAGGGACGGGGGACTCCAGGGGATTCCAGGGGCTGGGTGGCCTACCTGGAAGCAGAGCTGACAGGCCCGAGGCTGGGGTGCCGGAGGGTAAGGGGTGAGGGGAGGAAGGTCTCGCTGACCCTGTCCTCAACCCTGGCAGGAGGGGACCTCCAAGTTTGCCACTCTGGAGATGAACCCCAAGAGAGCCCAGAAGCGGCCAAAGGAGACAGTGAGTGTGCCTGAGACCAGGGATCGTGGGCAGCTGTCCTGGGGGTCAGGAGAGGGGAAGTCTCCTCCCAGCTCTTTCCTCCCATTGCGGCAGTGCCTGGAATGCCCCTGTTAGAGGTGACCCCCTCTGGACTTGGCAGGGCTGTGCCTGACCATCTGGGATCTCAGGGGAACCAGCTGTAGTCCCCAGAGCAAGGGCCTGGAAGGTGGCTAGCAGGAGTCTGGAGTCCACGGAGGCCAGGAGGGGCACTCGAGGAGGCGGCTGGAGGTCCCTAGTCTGCTCCATGTGAGGTCTGGGTGGGGTCTGGGGTTTGAGGCCGAGAAGCCTTCGGGGAGGGCTGTGAGCCTTGCTCACTGTCCCTCCCCATGCCATAGGGTGTCATCCAAGGCACTGTTCCCTACCTGGGCACGTTCCTCACTGACCTGGTGATGCTGGACACTGCCATGAAGGACTATCTGTATGTGAGTGAACCGGGGCCCGGGGGTGTGGGAGGAGAAAGCCCCCTACCGAGCCCCCCGTGCTGGAGTGCCAGGCCCGTCCTACCAGCGAGTAAACATCTCGGTGCCCCCGAGCTGCCCTGCCGCAAAGCCGCTGAAGAACCCAGCCGAGTGGGGCACAGGCAGTGCCCATGGGCGGGAGAGGGAACCTGGACCCCCCATGCTCAGGCGGCGCATGGTGGCTGACCAGGGGCTTCTCCCCCAATCCTCTTTCCATTGTCCTCAGCGAGGGCTGGGCAAGAAGGGTCCCCTGCCCTTGGTGGGTCCCCATGCCTGAACCTGTACAGTCCAAGCATGTGGGCACCCTGCCCCCTCATGGGCGCTTGTGGTAATGCAGCATGAGGCCGAGGAGGTGATAATGGTTGTGGGGTCAGTTTCTGATGGACACTGGCTATCTGTTTCCAGGGGAGACTGATCAATTTCGAGAAGAGGAGGAAGGTAAGTAGCTGCAGCCCTCACTGGGAGAGGGTGGAAATCAGACCCACCTGGGTAGGACACGTGACTCCAGCCCCCTCCCACTTTGATTTATGGGGACCTTTGGATACAGGAGAAGGGGGTCTCCTTCCTACCGGAGGGTGAGAGTAGGGATTGGAATCCAGGGCAGCTTCCTGAGGAGTGGCTGTTGGAACCCAGCTTTGAGAACAGGGGGGCCTGTGGGAACCCAGCTTTGAGAATGGGAGTAGGGGGAGGAGGGGACCCCCAAGAGCAAAGACCCAGAGCGTGGCCCGTGCCCTTCCCAGCACCCCTACTAGGCAGTGTCACCATCCTGCCCCTCCCTCTGACCGCAGGAGTTTGAGGTGATCGCCCAGATCAAGCTGCTGCAGTCGGCCTGCAACAATTACAGCATCGCACCCGAGGAGCACTTCCGGGCCTGGTTCCGAGCCATGGGTCGACTCAGCGAGACCGAGAGGTGAGGCTGGGCCAGGAATGGGGACAGTGGCCTCCCCGGGGCCTCCAGAGAGCCCGTGGCAGACTCCAGCTTCTGGGCAGGTGCTGGGAGGAAGGCCTGAGGGTGGGTCCTGGTCGCCTCTGCTTGCAGCTACAACCTGTCATGCGAACTGGAGCCCCCGTCCGAGTCGGCCAGCAACACCCTCAAGACCAGGAAGAACGCAGCCATCGTCAAGCGCTGGAGCGAGTGAGTACCCGGATGGGGCAGGCAGGGGCGCTGTCTCGGGGCAGAGAGGCTTCAGGGCCAAGCGTGGGCTCGAGGAGTCAGACAGACTGGTGCTAGGATCCCACCCTGCTGCTGACCGGCCCTGTGGCTGAGCTGAGTCCCCTCGCCTCTCTGGCCCTCAGTTTCCGCATCTGTGAAATGAGTGTTGGGTGAATGGAGTTCTGGTGACTGACCAAGGGAGTAGCATGGTGCCTCGAGCACTGGGTTCGGGGCCAGGGGTCAGGATGTGTCCTGGCGGGGGGCCGCTCCAGTGAGCCCACCCTTCATCCAGCCGCCAGGCCCCTAGCACGGAGCTCAGTACCAGCGGCAGCTCCCACTCCAAGTCCTGCGACCAGCTCAGGTGCGCCCCCTACCTCAGCAGCGGGGACATTGCTGACGCGCTCAGCGTGCACTCAGCCGGCTCCTCCAGCTCCGACGTGGAGGAAATCAACATCAGCTTCGTCCCGGAGTCTCCCGATGGCCAGGAAAAGAAGGTGCCTGCCCACTGACCCTCGATACCCTTCCCCGGCCTCTCCCTTCCTAGCGCCAGCGTTCCCCGCTCTGATGCCACACAAGGGGCTAAGAGGCTCCTGACATGGCTTCGTCTAGCATCCCCCCAAGCTGGCCGCCCACCTGGGGTGCCCTCTGGGGTCAGGCATCTGCTGATCTCCCCATCCCCTGCAGTTCTGGGAGTCGGCCTCCCAGTCGTCCCCGGAGACCTCCGGCATCAGCTCCGCCTCCAGCAGCACCTCATCCTCCTCAGCCTCCACCACGCCCGTGGCCGCCACGCGCACCCACAAGCGCTCTGTCTCAGGGGTCTGCAACTCTAGCTCCTCACTGCCGCTCTACAACCAGCAGGTGGGCGACTGCTGCATCGTCCGTGTCAGCCTGGACGTGGACAACGGCAACATGTACAAGAGCATCCTGGTGAGCCGGCGGGCGGCCCTGTCCCCTCACTCCGCCAGGCAGCAAACGCACATTGCACGTTTGCCTCCTGGGACCCGCTTTCTGGTGGGTGGGAAGGACAGAGGTCAGCCAGACACAGAAGTAAAGAAGAAGATAGTGATCAGTGCCAAGGGCAAGCCTGGGGAGGTGGGGAGTGGCCATGCAAAGCCCCTCTCCCACCCCATGGTGAAGGAGCAGGGTGGGAGGATATGAGGACGGGGAAGCACGTAGAGCCTGGGCCACGTGGGTCCTGAGCACTGTAAAGAACCTTGACTTTCTCGGGGAGGGAGACAGGGAGCAGGCTGTTGTCGGAGAAGGGCACAGGAAGGACTCTTGTGCGAGAAGGGGGCTGCCCATTGGGAAAGACCCCTGGTCTCAATGCACGGAGGCCTCCTTCCTGAGGAAGCAAGAGGAGGTAATTAGGCCCCCTGGACCCAGCACCCGGGCAGAGGCTTTGAGCCCCTCTGCCTGTTGCTGGGGGAACTCCACAGGGTCCTTGGCCACTGCACCCTGGGGAAACCACGCCAGGGTCCTCACCCTGATGGCCTGCTCCCACCCTAACCCAGGTGACCAGCCAAGATAAGGCCCCGACTGTGATCCGCAAGGCCATGGACAAACACAACCTGGATGAGGACGAGCCAGAGGACTACGAGCTGGTGCAGATCCTCTCAGATGACCGGAGTAAGTCGGGGAACCGGGCAGGCGAGGTCAGCGCCTCCCCGGCGGCAGGTTAGCGGTCATTGGCCCCAGAAAACTCCCCAGCATGGTGGGGGTGGGCGTGTGTGCAGGGCAGCCCTGGACGCCCCTGGTGTCTCCTTGCTGCCCCCGGTGGCAGCTGGACCTGTCCTGCGTGTGCCCTTCTTGGTAGTTCAAGACTAACATCAGCGAGGAGGGAAGAGAAAAATTTTTTTCACTGGGGCAAGGTGGCCAGGTGGCGTGTTGCAAGGGATGCTTCCTAGCTAAGAGGAGAAACTATGTGTTTCAGAAAGAATTGTTCCTGCTGTGGACCAGAGCATCAGATGTTAAAATCCATGGTGTAGGAATAAAAACAAAACAGGAGACCGGCATGGTGGCTCACGCCTGTCATCTCAGCACTTTAGGAGGCCGGAGCAGATGGCTTGAGGCCAAGAGTTCTAGACCAGCCTGGCCAACATAGTGAGACCTTGTCTCTACAAACCATTAAAAAATTAGCTGGGTATGGTGGTGCACACCTGGAGTTCCAGCTACTCAGGAGACTGAGGCAAGAGGATCACCTCTGCCCAGGAGGTCGAGGGTGTGGTGAGCCATGATCGTGCCACTGCACTCCAACCAGGGTGACAGAGTGAGACTCTGTCTCAAACAAATAAGACATGGCTACTAGAAAATCAGCTTAGTATTCTAGAGCCTGGTATCTTATGCTCGGAGACCTTGGGCAGGTTCCTTAAGTCCTCTTTACCTGCTTTCGCATCACCAAAATGGAGATAAAATGGCCAGTGGGTTAATCCTTTTTGCATATATACATACGTTTATGTATAGAAAGAGACTGGCATACAGTGTATACATGTGCCTTTAAAATTAACCATGGGTAGTATCATTTTTGCTCTTATTTTTTTTCCAGTGTGCTGAACACCACTCCCAGCCATTAGCTCAGACGGTTAGCAATAGCTCCCGCGATCCCTAGAAGTTGTATTCTAAATCTCTTGCTGCTTCTTGCACCGTTATGGCCAGGTGGGCAGGAAGGTGGGACTCCCATCTTATAGAAAAGAAAGACTGAGGCCTAGAGAGGGTGAGGAAGGACAATAAGAGCCACACGGGGCAGGGGCATGAATCCAGCCAACCACGGGTTTGCAGCAGCAGGCTCTAGGCCAGAAGAAACAGTGGGAGGCAGGAGCCCAGAGGAAGTACTTCCTGGGTGCTGGGAACCCACGGGGCTGGAGGGCTCCCTGGAACCTGGTACAGGAGGCTGGGGCAAGCCTGCCTCTTCCTGGTCCTTGGAGCCCTTGTGTTGAGTAGGGCAGGCTTCAGGGAAGTGGTCTGGATCCTGGAGCGCCTGTTCCAGCTGGACAGCAAGGACAGCAGTGTGGGCAGGACGGGAGGATGCTTTGCCAGCCCTGGGATGAGCTGGAAAGTTCTGGAGTCCCTTTGCAAACAAGAGGCATGAGGTTTTGTCAGGGCCTCAGCAAAGTCTGTCCTCAGGCAGGCATCACTGAGTGGTCCTTGGAGTTCTGGAGCTGGATTGGGGGGTTCTCGGCTCTGTCTGTCCTTGCAGGGGCTCTCAAGTGGTGGGGTGTCCCACGAGGTCCCCAGGAGCACCACTGACCACCCTCTGCCTCTGCCTCTCCCTCACCAGAGCTGAAGATCCCTGAAAACGCCAACGTGTTCTATGCCATGAACTCTACTGCCAACTATGACTTTGTCCTGAAGAAGCGGACCTTCATCAAGGGGGCAAAGGTCAAGCATGGAGCCAGCTCAACCCTCCCTCGCATGAAGCAGAAAGGACTCAAGATCGCCAAGGGCATCTTCTGAGGGCATCTCCCCAGGGTCTGGCTGGCTGGCAACTAAGCACTTAGGGACCAGAGCGGCCCAGGCCAGCTGGGTACCTTGAACCCACCTGCCCGCCCAGGGCACCCCAGACTCCAGTTTTACCCTGAACCCCTCCTACTGCTGGGATTGAAGCCTGCTTTGGGTCAGGCTGACCTGGCCCCCCTGGACCACTAGCTGCCTTAGGTGCCTTCTGCTCTCTGGAACCAGAGGACCAGCTGACTTTGGCCAAGGAGCGGTGCCAATGGGCATGGTGACCTGCCTGCCCCGGGCACTGCCTCGGTATACTTCCCTGACACCTTCCCGGGTGCGGGTCACTGCCACCTGTGCCCACGGGCACTCTAGAGCACCCACTGACCCGTTGGGTGTGACACTGCAGTTCTCTCCTCGTGCCCACGGGCACTGGCCCGGGACCTTCATGGGGGTCCCGGCCCCTCCTCCTACCACTCTAGCCTTTCTTGGGCTGCACCAAAGATTCCGTCATCAGGGCCAACTGAGAGCAAGGGAGTCTTGCCCACCACCTACTCCAGTCCTCCCCCGGGAATGGAGAGAGAAACCTCTTCATGGACCAGACTCTTCGCCCGGTGAGTGAGGACAGTTCCAGCTGCGTCTCATCGATGTCAGATCTCACGCCACTGCAAGTGCCATCCACCACCGCATCCTGGGCTTTACGAGACCACACGAGATGGGGGTTAGTGGGGAAGGAGGATTTGGGGAGGGGGGTGGCGATTAACTATTTGTATAAAAAGAAAAAAGAAAAAAAGTTTACCACGTGGGGAGGGGCAATATTTATTTGTTGTAAATAGCAAATGCTAGACTTGAATATTATATTAAAATCCTGTTTCTACTACAGCCTGGTCGTTGTGGTTTTGTTCTTTCATTTCCTATCTTAATTTAAATAAGATAGAGTCTCTCACATTCCCTGTTCAAATAAGGAAACTTGTAGGATCATCGGTTTGGAGCTAAAAAATATAACTAAAATGAAAAATTTAGCCAGGCTCCATGACTCAGCCTGTCATCCCGCGCCTTTGGGAGGCTGAGGTGAGTGGATTGCCTGAGCCCACGGGTTCGAGACCCGCCTGGGCAGGCGAGACCTCATCTCTACAATAAATC